GCTGCTGACAGCGAAATGCTGCTCGCCACATCAAACATCTCTCAGCTCCCGAGTGCTGCTGCCGCTTCTACAATGCATAATGTTACCGGCTGACAGCCGAAGCTTTTTAGGACTTCAAAAAGCTGCAGCTGCAGAAATGACAGAAGAGTTTTTTCTTTTAAACAGCTGACGGACAGAGTGGTCTTTAAAACCGCAAAATAACAATTTATACTCAACAGAAAACCTGTGTCATAAGCATCCTCTTACAAAGCTTTAGACAAGAGAGTTTCTTTTCTTATGACTAAAGATTTAATAAATACAACATTTTAAAGAACTTCCAGTTTCCAAAAATACCTTTTTGGGGAAGCCCGGTTAAAAGTGCATTACAGCAGTGTAGCACCGTGTTCGAGGAAGTATTTAGATCGTTTACTTAAGAGTTCTAACACCAACATTGTTACAATACACCATGATACTGCATGTTACTGAAAATGTTACTTAGTATATATTATATCATTAGAGTATTATCTCATGCATTGATGTAAAAGGAGGATTTGACTGTTGTAGTTGGTTGAGGTGGAGCTCATTTTATTAATTTTGTTAAAAATGAAAAGTAAAAAATGCCGGCACATTTACCCAGAGCCCAAAGTGACACCTTCATATGTTTCCAACCAATCAAAGCTTTCAAATAAATAAATAAGAGTAATACGTACAATATTTCTCTCAAATTGTTACTTTCTGAGTAAATACATACATCCACCACTGATGCAGCACTGGATTCACTAGTTAGGGCTAAAATTGTTTTATGCATTTGGAAATTGTTTGTGTTCTCAACCTGTATGTCAACAAGCTTTTCAACACAAATTTCTGCATGCACATCAATATGATGATGCATGCTGAGCCTGAGTCAGCATGCAGAAGAGTGATGTAGAGACTCCGTATACGTCTCTGGTAGCGACCTGTCAATCACCGTGTAGCCCCGCCCCTAAAGCATCCCCTGCTTTATGGTCTGTGTGACTCTAAATGGACCATAAGTTACTAAATGAACATCATGCTGTATTGAAGAAGACTTGAAACTAGAGATTGAGACCATAAACTCATGTTTACAATGTTTACTGAGGTAATAAATCAAGAGAGAAGTAGAGTCATTTTCTCATAGACTTCTATACAACCAGAGGAGTCGCCCCCTGGTGGACATTAGAGAGAATGCAACTTTGAAGACACTTGCATTGGCTTCACACGGTAGAACAGGAGGTTGCTGCCTGGTGCTGACATGTTCATCTTATTCAAATAAACTTTATTGGACTTGTCAATGGACAAAAAGGTCAGGTTAAGAAAAAAGTGTCCTTTTGTACATTTAATTACATTGATGATATTTTAATCACATTTAATCACACAAACCTAAAGGGAGATTAAAAAAAAACTTTTGTTGATTGTTCAGCAAAACATACTTTTCTCTTTGCTGGGAAAGTATTTCTTGAGTTTCCTGGACAGTTGTCTGGTCAGCTTCTCCAATGACTTTTAAAAGTAAAGGTAGACTATCAACGCCATTGGTCACCTCCTTGGTATCATGTCACCGTCAACTTGCAGGTTGTAGCGGTCTCTCAAGTGTCTCTACCTACATCACTGCTTCATGGAAGTCTGTTGAACCTTTTTAGTAGTTTTGTGCTTCTCAGACTAAACGAGCTGTTGATGTTGTTTTTCCTGCTCTGACCCTCGCTGCCCTCCGTCTTTCTGAAGAACTGCTCCCTCTGTTCTCCTGATTCTGAGGTCCTGGTCCTTTCTGAAGAGGGCCACGGTCCATGGCTCTATTGATGACAGCTCATCAGCATGCAGGGGGGGCTTCTGCCGTCCCCACGGCGACCAAATACAGCTTCTGTCCCCTCTGATTCACCCAACATTCACCCCTACATCATCCGTCCTCTGCCTCAGCTGAGATTTTTCATTATCGATACCTTCAGACTTCAATGATTCCTTCCATTCATTTATGAAGTTCATTTTAATGGCAGAAATAGAGCCAGATGTTTAGCTTCAGTTCCGAGTCCAAAGTTATTCTTCAAACCACTTTGGTCCACACTTAAATAACTCAACAGCTATTGAATAGATTGATTTGACATCAAGTGCAGAGATTTATGGCTCAAAGGGGTTAAATCCGACTCTCGTGATCCGCTGACTTTTTTTTCCACATTTGCGGTTTTAAGAGGCATTTTCCAGGTGTTCTGGTGTAGAGGTCCTGGAGGAGGTTCAAGCTATTCTTGAGGTGTTTTAAGAAGTATTGAAAAGAATTCAGGGGTCTTTAAGAAAGGTAGAAAGGTCACAAGGAGCTATTATCATTCATGGCAAATGTTTTAGCTGTCTTCAAAGAGATTTCAGTGGTCCTTGAGGAGGATTTATCTGTACTCGAGGAGGTTAAAGAGGCATTGAAAAGGTTCCAGGCTTCCCTCAGAAGGTGCCAGAGATGGAGGTTTGTGAAATCCTTTTAGGGATTTTCCCAAGCCATTGTCAGTTTGTTTGGCTAGTCCAAATCAGGGTGAAATTGATACTTCTGGTTCTTTTTCTATTTTGTCTGATTTGCTTTCACTGTTCACAAATTAAAGCGGACCAAATCAAACAATTCATTTGCTGAGGTGCGCGTACGAAGGAGCCAATTTATCTATTTGACCTCGAGAGTTGCTACTTTCATGAAGGGATCAGAGGTTTTGAAGTATTGCTGTTGAAGTTTTTGTAAAGCAAACATTGGACGTCTGCAGTCAAAGCGCAGTCGTGTTCGCCTGGAAACAGTCCAAGTCCACCTCTTGCAAATGATCTCGGACTGGTTGTTGTGGACCACCAGAGTACAATTACTGCGTTCACAACTGCCCAGACAAACCGCACCAGAGTAAGAACTTAATGTTGGCTTGTTAGGCCGGGTTTTAATGCCCATGAAGAGGTTCTTGGGGAGGTTTCAGATTTCCCGGATGAGGTTGTAGAGTTCCATGAAAAGCTGTTAGCTGTCTTGGAAGAGGTTTCAGGGCCACTGATGATATTTTTGGCTGTCCTTCATGGAGTTTAAGAGGTATTAAAAGCCCCTGATGATGTTACAGATCCTTGTAAAGATTTAGATCATCGCCGTGGTTCCAGACGTCTTTGAAGAGGCACGTCTATAAACAGTGTTAATGCTGTTATGGTTTGCTGCAGTTTAATAAAACTTGGGTTCTGATATAAAGAATGTTTGAGGTACACATACAACTCTAAGTCACTGCAGGCACAAACATTATTTTTCATGCATTGGTACATTTTGAGAGTTTGGGTTATTTTGGTCTTCTTTCAGACTAGTGGAGAGAAAACATCCAAAATGCACTTTTAGGCGTCACTATTTTCTGATTTGCGGAGTGATTCCCAAAATTCCCTCTGTAAAATCCTTTCACTCTATATGTCAGCAAAATGAACCTGGCTGTATCTATACTCAGATTCCTGTACTAGATGTATGCAATTTAGCACATATTTGATATGATAATGCTTCATTTGCATATTTAAACTTAAACTTACAATTTCAGAAAAGTTGTGAAAGAAAAAAACAATTGTCTTAATGTAAGTAATGAACTGAGGACGTTTTCAGAATTTTGCCCCATTCACCTGAGGTGTCTTCCCTTAACAGAGGCCTGTCAGCCAATCAGAGAGCAGGATTCTGTTTCTGTAGTTGCTGTGGTATCTTTTCTGTAAAAATGTCGGATGAGTGTGTGAGGATGAGCTGAGTGACAGACTGACTGACAGGAAACAATCAGCCGCGAGTCGGTTCAGACGTTCAGCAGCCGTCAGTCAAAATACCGAACTGGTAATTTGAAGCTCGTTTTCAGCGTCGCAGCAGCAGAATTGAAGAGGGATTCTTCTTCCCGTCTCACTTTTATAACTTTTATCAGAGGAGAGTTGCAGCCTTTAACAGTAATGTGTCAGCTGGTGGAGGCTGAGGCTGCAGACTGTTTACCCAATGTCAGAATCAACCACTTTGCAGCAATGATCATTTTTTGTCTATTCTGAAGAAATAGAATAAATAATATTCAACTTCCAGTCAGTCTGTGAATTGGTTTCAAACTGCAGCAGTTCGTCACTTGTGACACTAATGAAGCAGTTAACAAAATATAATACTTGGCCTGTTAAGAAAACAGCAGGAAAACAGTATTTTTTAAAATACCTGCTAATTGCAAGATATGCCTTTATTTGGGAAATTCCATCATCGCCAGATAATAAATTCAAGTGAGCAGTGATTCAGCTAAAGATTAACTTTTGTACAACAGACATTGGTCTGTTTTCCGTGGTCATTTGACTAGTATAAATGAAAATGACGTTTGTTGCAGCCGCGGAGACGGATGGAAGGCTTGTTAGCGAGGTGACTAGCTTGTCCTTCTCCAGAGCGACGGGGAGTTAGATCCAGCGCTGCAGCTGGCCAGCAGCCCGCTGTTCAGCTCCTTTATTGTAACCAGTGTATCAGTAAAGCACGGTGGAATTAGGAAGCTAGCTAACTAGCCTGCTGTAGCTTGCTAATTCCACCGTGCTTTAATGCTACACTGGTTACAGTGTTACACTGGTTGCAGAACAAAGTTGTCACTCATCTGGTTATAGCGATGTGCTTTCCTACGCTGTGAAAAGACGTTACTGCTCCACTGCTCCTTTTAGTCGTCACGGCAAAATCTCACCTCAGTCAGTCCGTGACTTTTCGGGCAGTTTAGTTTATCCAACGGTCGCAACGACAACAGCACACAAAAAAATGGACGCCGCTCTGACCATCCTGCAACGTCGATTTGAATGGGAATGTTCGTTCTACTCCAGTGTTATTTCCATGGATTATATTCTCTGATCTAGTCTGTATTACTCACCACCTGTAACGACGCTGAAGCCTCTGCAAAGTGAGTTCAACTGTATCAGAAAAAATAAAAGGAAACATTGCAATTTACAAAATGTTTTGTGAGTGAATATAGAACTCTTGTCATCAAAACAAAAACACTTCAAATGTTTGTTTACTTGATGGACTTGCGTTCCTTCCTCAGGTCAGCTGGCGGCGGGGACCTGCGAGATCGTCAATCTGGACCGAGACAGCAGCCAGCCGAGGAGGACCATCGCCCGACAGACGGCCCGCTGCGCCTGCAGGAAGGGACAGATCGCCGGGACGGCACGAGCCCGACCGGCCTGCGTCGACGGTAAGACGCAGCCTGCTGCCAACAACTAGCCATTCAAATGAATGACTAAATATCTTGTTTTGTGCATGTATGACACAATGTCTCACGGCTGGTTTGGGTTAAAATTGTTACTTTGTCATCGTTGGGAAACAATGTTGACTGTCGGTTGGAAACAGGCGGCAGCCTTTAGATCTTAAAAGTGAATGCGGAAGTTGCTTAAACCTGCATTCTTTCTAATGACCATCAGGGGTCGACTCTTTTAAAAAATTACATCTCTTTAAAGCTGTTTTCTCTAAATGAGTTAATTCTCAGACTCTGATCCAGAAATCTCCACTTCAGCAGCTCTTACATTCACCAAAACATTCCACTTTCATTCCTCTCTATGTATATTCTGAAGGTTTTTACAGGGGTTTGTTCATAAATCCTTCATTGCCTGATTTATACAACATTTTGTTCCTTAAAACATGGAGAAAACATATTTTTTTAAATGGCTGAGGGCGATATTTTCTGCTTATGGAGTGATAGGAAGATATATCCAACATTGCCTGTATAAAAACCTTTCTACTTGCAATGCAAAAATAATTTGCAATAATTGTCCAAATTAATTAAGTTTCATGACGATATTAAATTCTAATTTTTCATTATTATTTCCCTGTCGTGAGTCCCCTTAAGTGTTTGGTGTGTGTTTCGGAGGAAATTAAGAATTGATTGAGTGTATTTTCAGAGATTTTAGTGAGTTAAGATATTGCAAGTCAGCAGAATCTTCTCTTGAGGCTAAACTTTTGTCATGAAGGAAACTTACACACAGATATCTGCAGCTTCCCTCTAAATCCCCCAAATCTCTTCATCTGGACCGCAAGGTTCAGAAAGTCAAAGCCCAGATGGGGGACAGCCCAGAGTTGCATTGCATTTCATCAGCGGCGGTCTCCTCCTCTCTCTTTCTGTTTCTGTGACCGCCATCTGGAGACAACGACAACAGCTGGAGGGACTCGTTCTGCTCTGCGGGGATCTTTACAGGCTCTCACGGTGATTTCCAGAGACTGTGGGACAGTTGTTTAGCTGAACCTCTGCAGTCTCGCCTGCTGCTTTCTCCTCCTATTAAGCTCCAGTCGAAAAAGAACTTCACATGTTTTCTCCCTCAGATTTGTCCTCAGATGATAGATTTTCTTCGCATCAGCATCGATTTCCTTTAGGACTATTACAGTGAGGACAAACCGTCTTAAAAATATCATTTTCAAGATTTGACAAGATTTAACGAAGATTCTTTTCACCGAATCAGCAGAAAAATTGGATAGCATAAGTGGATAGCAGGGCCGTCTTTCAATCAGAGGGTTGGCGGTTCGAACCCCGGCTCCGCTAGTCGCATGTCGATGTGTCCTTGACCAAGACACTTAACCCCAAAATTGTTCCCGTAGCTGTGCCTACGATGTAGAAATGTGATAGACTCCGAATTGTAAGTCGCTTTGGATAAAAGCGTCTGCTAAATGACTGTAATGTAAAAATACTTCATCTTGTTAAATGAACCGCTCTTGGTTCTGTCCAAACTTTTCTGTCAGCCTACAGGATGGATACAGCTTTGGGTTACAACATGTTGTCAAACAGCTTTGGAGATGGTGGAAGGTGGATTCTTGTGCCCCAGTGCCAGCCGACGCCGGAGGGACTAGGTTTTAGGGCCGTCCTTCCTTCTGGTCCTTTCTCATGAATCTCATGAATGCCAGCAAGGTTGTTTTGTATTTAAACTGGGCACAAACGTCCGCCTGGACTGAATGACGAACGGGTTCACTGGTGAAGGTTACCGTGACCTCACATCCGTCACATTCTCAGGAACACTTTGAGGAAATGTCTTCAAATTTGGCCCATATGTCTACTTGTACTCAAACGTCCGCTTGACGTTGGTGAATCTGAACTAACCAAAGTCGCACAATAATGCGAACAAACTAACCCATCAAGGAAGCTTGGTAGTTCAGCAACGTAAAATGACAGTTTTTTTCATTGGAGTCTGGTGGCTTTGGGGAGACCATAGATGGATTACTGTATAGTTGTCTCACCGTAAGGTAAACTGGCAAAAATAGTCTGTTGACTGTTGTACACGGTAGTACATTGCTTGGTACTCCTGTCTGCTTCTCCAAACTGGGGGCGTGCCGACCGCCACCTTCTGTAGATAACACACTGACTATGTACCTCAAACAACCCCACTTCAAAACATCCAAACTATCCCTTTAACTGTTTAAAACACGTTAAACCCTTTATATTCATATTATTTATTGATGGATCTGCCGAGACACCGTGTGTGCCTGTAGCTCGTCAAGATGTTGGGGACAGATGTTGGAGCTGAACTGGTTAAAGTTTGTGCCGTCGGTGACCAGAGCTGTTTGAACGTGCTCTGCTGCTCCGGGAGGATATTTTCAGACTCGAAGCTGCTGATCGCTGCAACCTGCTTTCAGAGCTCAGCGACTCATCAGCAGCTTCCTGTTTTTTCCTGTTTATTTCTCAAAAAAAAAACTCTCAGTGACTTCCTCATCGCTATGGATGACCAGGAGCCAAGAGACGTTAGACTTTAACTTTCAACAGCCGAGGAGCGGATTCCCCCCCTTTGGAGGTAGAAAAATGTTCACGCAAATCATTGTAACTGTCCAGCAGGAAGACTTGTACTTCTGTGCAAACTTTACCTGAGTCTCTCTGTGACCTTTACAGAGCTGCGTGTTGGTATTTATGTCACTTTGTGTTTTCTGTTGCAAATCTCAAGTAGCATGAACTCAAAAGTCTCTTCAGTGTTTTGCGGAGACAAACTAGTGTATTTCAGGTCAAATAAAAACCTTATTCAATCCAAGGGGACACAAGACGAGTCAAAACAGCCAAAACAAAACAACAGTGTCGCCGGATCTGTCAGATGAGATGGAACTTTATTCATCCCAATGGAAATTGTTGTGCAGCAGTTGCAGTACAAGGAAGGAAAGAGGAAGAATATAAAATACCCAAAAAGGTGCAAGTAGAGAAATATCAATAAACAGAACCAAACATATAAAGAAGGTTAAGGATCATTAGCATCATGTACACAGTGTAGGAAGAAGTATTCAGAACAGGCAATATCACAAACAGGCCACTCACCATAATTACCGTACGACTTATCGTACGATGTATGGACATGACTTCATTCATTTTTACATTTTCCACTTATTGTACGATATATATGGACCTTACCTTGATCATTTTTGCTGACCTCGTTGTTGTTTGTTTTAGTTTTAACATTTTAGCCAACATGATGCCAGAATACACAGCAGATTGTTCCCCACCGTTATAAGACTTGGACATTGCGCAGACACATGTTTGCTAACAGAGCCTGAGAGTGCGTTATCATGCCATTGTATTATCATATAACATAAAATAATCTTCAAATGACAATAATATCATTTGTCGCAATTATTGCTGGGACAGAATGTTGTCCAACACAAGTAGTTATTGTTATTACAAGTGAAAGTCACAAAATACATCTTAAAATGTATTAATTGCTTCAAATTTGGAACAGTGTAACATGTGTTTATTAATGCATTACTGCTTCATTTGTACTTCACACCCCCCTTTATTTAATTATTTTCATTTTTATTTTCTTGTATTCTATTTTAATTATACTTTGTAGATATGTGTAGTATATTTATATCAGTATGTTCAAGATGTACATCACCTCTGTGATGAAGTTTTTGCCTCTTTAAAACAATTTAAAAAAATTGACAAACCAGCTTTTGACATATTTTTGCAGTGCGGGAGTTTCAGAAAGTCTCGAATAAAACTCAGACCTCAGCAGCCGCTTCGCTTGGATCTCCGTGACCTTTCAGCTGCACGTTGTTGGTATTTCTGCCAGTTTGTTTCTGAGGTTTGTGTCGCTCGCTTTGCTTTCTGTTGTTTTGCTGCTGAAACGCACCAGAAGCAGCTCCGACCGATCAGACTGCAGTCGCTGACTTTAGTCTGAGTCCTGGTTCCTGTGTGGAGGGATAATCCCAGCATGCATCACAGGTAGTCACACTGAGCGGAGTAATGACCCAGAAGAAACAAACATGTTTGCAGCTATAGAAGCGTCATCAGGGTGGAAAAAACAATGTTGTTGACTCTGGTTTACAAAGTATCTAAGCTGGACCTGAATCCTGAGAAATGACCACACAGATGCTTCTTGTTCACCTCCTCTGAGCAGTGAAATGAAAAGATGTCGGAAAAGAACCTGCTGCTGTTTAGTTTTAGACATTAATGGAATCAGATTGACAGCAATGAATAAAAGAAAAGGGCCTCAAAGCTCAGAGCTTGTGTAGTGAAACAAACAAACAACACGAGACATGTTGTGTTTCTCATCAGGTGGAGACGAACTGAAAAGGACAGAGACGGTGGTGTGTTCAGGGACAGAAGAGAGAAAAAGAAAATGTGTTGGAAATGTGAAAGAGTGAAAGAATATTGCGGAGGCAGAAAATATCTTTTCACCAAAATAGAAAAATCGTTTTTTTCCTCTCGTATTTATGACTTCATAATTATTATATTCATCGTTAAGCGTGATGTAACTTTGCATATTTCATTATCATGATATGTGTCACATAATTACATTAACTTTTATTTTGTGAAAATGAAATCTGAACTATTTAGGAATTATGAGGAAATGATGCCGTGAAGAGCTCATATTTATGATCTTGTTATCTTTTAATCAGGACGTGTTTGTCTTGTAATTATGACATCATTATTGCGTCTTTGTGATTGTGAGATGCGTATCTAACGAGACCTTTATCTCATTCATTTAAGATACTTATCCTCCTATGAAAGCTGTATTTTAATGATTAAGTCTGAACATCATAATTAAGAGAAAACATCATTTTTTACAATGCGGTATACTTCTGCCGATACTGCAGTAAAACGACTGCAGTAAAGCAGACTCTACGGAGAGGACAAAGAGGACAAGCAACAAGTAGAGTTGATTAAACGGACGGAAGGTGAAATAAAAGCAGGAAAAAGGAGAATAAAAAGGATGATTTTGTGTCTGTTCT